AAAAAAAAAAAAGTGCTGCATAAGAATAAAAATATTTAGATGTTAATGCTTCCTTGCTAACAAAAATATTTGGTAGTTGTTGAAGATACTCCTTGTAAAGTCATTTTTGTAAAGTATGTATGCAGTCTTCTTAACATTTTAAAGAAACTGCATGTCAAACTCAACATAATTTCAAATACTCTGAAATTAAATTTGAACTGACATTCAATCTAAACAACAAAGTATCTTAATTTTGGCTTTCACAGTACACAGAACTGCATACTGAATACAAGATGAAAGCACTCTCTGTCCTGCATAGGTTTCCTCTGCCTGCAGAACTGCACTGGGACCTTTGTGTAGTAGCTTATACATTTATTAACATTTATTAATTTATCATGTTTTTCTTTTACTTAGTGGATGTGCCTCTGGATGTGTAGACTGGTTGTTAAAGTGCTTTAAAATAAAACAAAAACCCCAACAAAAGAAAACATCCCTCACAAAACCACAACAGATGTGAGAATTTTATCTGAAGGACTTTGTACAGCATTTACAATGTCAGCATAAAGCATCTGAAACATGAGCATTCCCTGCAGACTGATGCAGTGCAAGCAGTCTCCTACATTAGATACTGCAATTCTTCTGGATTCAAGATGCACAATACTTACAAAAACAACCCTAGAAGCACAGACAAATGCTGGTGGCTCTTCCTCTTCTTTTTAGAAACATAATAAAAAAATCTGCATTACTCTTTCATAATTTAAATACATAAGTAATCTCCACTTTTATTACTTCATGACAATGACTTCAAATTTACATTATTTTAAGTACCATCATAATAGCTCCATGTACAATACAGATATTTGCTGATACCCTGTCAGAAAATTAAAAAAAAAAACCAAAACCTTCCACTATATAAAAAAATTATGCTGGAAAGACAAGAACACAGAACAGGGACTTGGTACAGACTATGATTTCAGTTTTATATCAACCACAGTTAACCCAAAATTAACAGATACACAGCGATATTCAAAAGCAGTGCAAATATCTTTGGAGGTTAGAATAAAATTATACTACAAGAACATAAGACAGAAGAAATTAAAAGGCAAGTACTTCAAGTACAGGAACCAGTCTCTGTGAGGTCCATCTTAGTGTTAGCTGGGAGTTCCTTTTCCCATCTTACTTTTTCCTCTGAAACACATTAGCCAGCATTGCACCTGATGTAGTCAGCTGGCCCATTTTGTTCAAAAACTTGGTCTTTGTATCTTCACTCACAAGGCTCGCTGCAATCGACATTGAGCTAGGAAAGTAAAAAATTTAGTGACATAAGACTACAAAGAAAAAAGAACACTGTGCTGTTATTTAATAAGCAACTGAATTATCTTTGCATTTTAGAGGTTTCAAGATCACAAAAGACCAGTCCATCAAGAAGAACTGGAAAACCATCACCACCAAGCCCAAATACACACTGTTAAATGAATTATCATGCCCTCACAGTCCTAGGGAAAAGTTGTAAACTATTTTTGTGCATGCTAGTTTTTACTACCTTTAGAAGTCACCATATTAGCATTTGTTAGTAATTTGGCAATTGCTCTAGTGACAAATACCTCTGTGAAAGATCGGCTTTACCTTCTCACTGGAAATGTCAATCCTTGTTTATTTACTATAAGAACACCTGTACTGGTTCAGACCAAGGATCTATCTAGCCCAAGTATCCTGCCTCCGACAGTGATCATTAGCAGACACGTAGGAAAGAGTACTCTCCTTAATTTCCAACTCTCTTATTTTCCAAATATTTCCACCTGAGCAGAGTTTAAAATTGGTGTGGACTGTCAATCTAGTAACTCCCAATGAATCTTTATTTTATATTACTTGCTCAGCTTTCCCCTGATCCCCTTGTATATTTTTTGTAAACCCCACCCGGGGCACTGAGTCCTACTAGGTCTACCCCTTGCTGAGCTTTCTCCTCCTGGTTAGTGTGAATGTGACTCCTACTACCTTTGCTTGAGTGTTCCTACTTCATATGTACTAGAGAAGACAATGGAGAGTCCACAATTGTCCCACAAACTGGACTAGAAGGAGCAACCCAATCAATGCTGAACCTACAAGATGCTACAACTTCAAACAATATGTTAAGAAATTATCCCAATTTTACAAAACATTACCAGTGAAGTTCTCCCTTGTGAGCTCAGCATGGACTCTGCACTTCAAAATTATACCTAAGATCACAAGATCATAGAATCATAGAATGCTTTGGGTTGGAAGGGACCTTTAGAGGTCATCTAGCCCAACCCCCCTGCAGCGAGCAGGGACAGCTTTAACCAGATCAGGTTGCTCAGAGCCCCGTCCAACCTGACCTTGAATGTTGCCAGGGATGGGGCCTCTACCACCTCTCTGGGCAACCTGTTCCAGTGCTTCACCACCGTCATTGTAAAAAACTTCTTATGTCTGTCTTACTGGCACAGGCCAGCTTCCATGAACTGACTTTTCAGTCTGCAAGGTTGTAAAAAGTTCTGTTAGACACTTTTGCATCAAGGCAGGTCACATTACAGTTAACTCCAAATTGCTTCAATGGAATTTGAATTATTCTTCAAAGCTGGTAGGGATGCATTCAGTATTTTTTCCCATTTCACCACAAAGAAAGGTGCTTAGCTGTAACGAATTCTGGTTCTTTTTAACAGAGTACTTGGAAAAAACAAAAGGGAAGCTTCTCACTAAAGCTGTACTGTGGATTTACAGATAGTTTAATTGTATCATAACTATATCCCTTCAAATGTATCCCCCATGCTTTCTACTTTTTAAGCTCAAGTGACTCGCTGTTTCCTGCATTTCCACAGTGCCTAATGGATCTAGATCCTTGAAGGGGCTTTAGGCATGCCTCACATAGCATACCCAAGAGTATCACAACACGTAAGAGTATGCAAAATATTTCTTTCAGGCACAGTCACATAGCCAGACATCTTTGGCTTGATTAAACATCTACAGTGAACTAGGGAATTGCATATTTTCAGTCAATAAAACTTAGCAGGAAAGTTACTGCTACTGTAAGATGGATTTCCTGTGCAATTTCCCTTGATTGCATGATAAAGCAAGGGCATATAAATTATGTAAATAACAGTTTATACTTGCTATCAGCTGGTTAACAACAAGAAGTTATTCTGGCCTATGATGTATCCCAGAGTTGTGTGTAACTACAGAGAAGGATTTGGGAAATACAGTACATTCCAGGCATTAGCAACATTAAGACAATAAAATTGCTCACTTCAGAAAAGAAAGCCTAGCAACTGGTGACAAACCTGTAGTTTTAAGCAAACGGTGCTGTCATTATTCTAATGATCCTGAATAAGTTTGAGGAAAACCAGGAAATGTTCACTTGACTTTCAAAACAGTTTTGGGGGAATATCAAACATCTGATGTTAAAAGTTAAAAATTAAGAGCTGAAGTCTCTAGAAGTTCATGTTTTCTAATATTATGTTACTATAAATAGAAAGATAATCCATAACACTTGACATACTTAAAAGTTTAAATATGCCCCAAAAGTACTTCTATTATTATACAAATTGAACATTTAAACGTAATAATAAAAGCAATGACATCAAATAATTTGAGTTTCATGTCTTTAAAAAAGTAATCAGAGAAACCAACAAGGCAATAACATACGTTGTTTGCAACAGCAGTCCTATAGAAAAGTCCTTGCATTTACTATTTAAAAAAAAAAACAAAACCAAACAAACCGCACCAAACCTACCCACAAATAAAAATAATGTGCAAACATCAAATTTTTGACCAATGTCTAGATGAATTACGTGCTACGGAGTTCTGCCTGTTTTATGGGGAAGCTGTAGGCCAAAACAAACATTCATGCTAGACATTTTACAAAAATCAGTTTGTAATTTAAGTTGTTATCCAAGATTGAAACACCTTGTTAATTGCTAAGGAAAATGTTTAACAAAAGTGGCTATCCAATATTTAAAAAGACAGAAGTTCAAATTTTTTTTTTTTTTAAACTATTTCTGTGACCCCATATTATTTGACCAACCTTTTCTAACAGTATGGGGCAAGGACCAGATAACCAACAGCATCTTATGATTGCTTTTACATCCAGTTTTATTTTTGTGCATGCATTCTCATGTTGTTAACAAAAATCAGTAATTTATCTCCTAGTTGCATTTAAATCCTTCGTCAAATCTATATCTAACGCTGAAATTAGGAACTGAAATTGGCAAGGGCTTAGCAAGAAAAAGGAGATATTCGTGTATATGAAAAGGTCATTTCTTCAGCGGTAAAATATTTCGTGTTAGTTTGTACAGTAAAAGATTGCAGCCATAGCCTGATTTGAATAAGAAAGGGGAAGGCTAATTAAACACTGAAGCAACACATTGCAAAGACTTATCCTTTTCAAATCTTACAGTTTTCAGCAGTTGCATTCTAAAAGAGAATACACTGGATGTTGTATCATATTTGCATTTATCTGTTTCTGCAGTGGCTTAATAGGACTAACTGTGATTTCAAAATATTTTCATAAGAGGGATTTTAAGTAATACAGAGGTCTTTACCTTTAGGTTAACATGTCTGCACTGATATAAGCTAAAGCAAGGTAAGCCTAAACCCTTCATGAAATAAAAGTTGATCACACAAATTCTAACCATGCAGAGAACAGCTTTGATGAACTAAATAGGTTAAAACATTTGAGAGAGGCAAAAGCACATATTTTAAAAAAAAATTAAAATCCTGTCCAACTGAAGAGCACCACTTGAGAATTAGGAAGAGCTCAGCCAAGGAATTTTGTTCAGTTAATACAGGCAACATAATAAAAACCCTTCAGGTTAAGGTTAATGGTGTTCTTTAAAGAGACCAGTTTGGTATCGCGTACATTTGCTGCATTCTGGGAGAGAAAAGAATTTCTTACAGAATAGGTTTGCCTGGGAAGGAATCGATTTCATATTTTCTAATGAACTCTCCTAAAAGGCTGTCAAGAAGTTGCTCAAGAAGTGATAAATTAATTTATTTCAAAAAAACATGTTTACCAGACATAAAAGTCTTATCTTACATATTTAGATACATACACTGCTTTTATTCTTTTCTTCACACAGTCAAAGTCTGAGGTGGTGGCTTTTTTATTGCACAAAGAATTAAAATGAAAATGAAAAAAGAGTATCAGTTAGGCTGTAGATTTAAAAAAGAGTCCATAACACCCAAGCCGGGGAAGTATTTGCAAAGTAATAGATGCCCATCTATGCAACTGATTCTAATGAATCAACTTGTTAGTCAAAATATTAAGTCATTGCTTATGTGGAGGGATGTCCTTGCACAGGTTGGCTGGTGAAAGTCTACAGCAGTTGCTTAGCATTGAATCTGCAAAGAGCGTGGCTATTAATTCTGCCTTACCACAGCTACCTATTGGGTACCTACTACGTAAGGTACATAGTACAGGGAAGATCTTGGTAAAACTAATGCGTACTTGGAAAAAGTAGGATGGGTCTAATGGGGCAACTAGCAAGTTTCTACTTTGCCAAGAATCATTATTGGTCGGTTGTTTTCTGAGGGAAAAGCTGGCTTAAGTGCCAACCTTTAATATAGCTGAAGGCAAGCTAAGCATTCACCATTCTTTAAAAATAAAAAGCAAATGCACAGCTGCTGAAGAACCTGAAGGATACAGGAAGGGGATGAGCATTCAGAGTATGGCTATTGGGGGACACAAACAGGTACGCATTCCAGAAAGCTCCATTTAAGAGAAGGCAGAAAGGGTAAGGGCAAAAGTACAAAGCTTGAGGAAGTAACATAGTGAAGCCCTGGGTAAAAACAACACCAGGAATGAATACATTTTTTGGTTCTTGACTGACTGGCTATTTATGTTGCAAGCAAGGAATATGGCATGTGGAGTGATTAAGTCAAATAAACCTGTTCTTATTCTGTGAATAACTAATATGTCAAAGAAATACCTATTTCATCATGAAAATAGCCACTCAACTGGAATAGACTTAGTCAGTACAGTCCCTGCTTCATAATATTGTCACATGAACAGGAATGAGGAAAGAAGGTGACCAACAGTGCATTCTTCAGACGTTAAAGGTTTTGTATTTCTTCTCCCTTAGACAGGACCTCCATATGACTAGACAGAACCAACTACCTTATTAGAACAGATAACACTACAGACTGTGATTTGTTGTAGAACTTGGGACGTTTTTAGTCTTAAAATTATTTCACTTCCAAAGTCCAAAGTTAATTTCTAGTACACTTTTAAGAGTTGACCTGATGCTCATGTCTCGAATGGATTCAGTTCTCACTACATTCCATTCATTATCAGCTACACCAGTAAACAGGCTAATTACCACTAGTAAAGGCTGAGATATTTTATTTGCTGCATGAGACTGACTCTTTTTCCACACCATGTCTCTTCTGTTCAATTCTTTTACACCTTTCCTATTTCAGTCATTCTCAAACTACCAGTTGCTTCTAGGATTTTGCCTGAACTCTTTCAAGAAGTAAATTCTATCAATTTGTTACAGATATGGAGGCATGGCATAAACAAGTTTCAGTAACTGTCTTGATTCCCATGGCAAGGTATCAGGACTGAGGACAGATTCTCTTTTTCAGATACCTAATGTTTCTTCTCAAACTCTTCCTGGCAACACTGCTAAGGATTTGTTAAGTTTTGTAATAATCCATGAGAAGTTACTTGCTGGTATGCCATTCCAGGCAGCAAGCAGGCAAAAGAACACATACACTTCATCACAATGGTGCTTAGCTTTCCAAATTTGTGGGTCTGTTAGCTTCTTTTGTTATCAGGAGAGAGAGAGACATACACACGATACCACCTCTACCACATGAGGTGAACTGATGCATATACACCACGTGTCTGATCCCTCACCGGAGAGCTGGGTTTACTGTGCGTTGGTAGACTTGGTGTTTTACTGAAGTGCAACACAGGTGGCATTTTCCCAAAGTGAACATATTTACTAAACAGCATATTCAGAGAGGTTGGTCAGTTTGTACACTGGAGAAACTGTTCTCGTGTGCAGTAGTCACACGCAAGCAAAGACAGCAGCCTGGAGCAGGTCATTACCATGACCAGAACAATTCCTTCAGCCTGCAGGCTATCCCCATGAAAGAGGGTTGCAAAGCGCATGCCACGTGTTGCTCTAAGCACTTAGGCCAAGCACTCCCTGCTTTCTCAGATTCAGGACAGAAATTCAATTACTGATTTAAATGGATAAGAAATTAAGAAGAAAGTAACATGGGAAAACAAGAACATCATTGCTATGATGCAAATAAAAACGTGCTGTCCTGTGTTTTACACTGGAGACAGAAACAACCACAAACTGAATTAAAGTTCCTACAATCTGCTTTCAAATACAGAATATGTCAGTGCAGGATTTCTGGTCACAAGCCTTGGACACCATTATGGAATACACTCCGCAGAACATTAATCTGGAGGCACAGAAAAAAGAGAAGTGGAAGTCTTACCCCTGCGGTTCTTGGACGGTCTTGTTTTCCACTTTCTGTTCACACTCTTTTATCATGGAGCTTAAAATAACCTAAGACACATAAGGAAGAGAGATACATGACATTTTTTTCTTTTGCATTAACATTTTGTACAAGACCTGCTCCGCAACTAATTCTGACACTAGCAGAACTGTTTAAAAAGTTTCTCTGCTGTTTTTCAAGTGCATTTTAAGTCCAGCTATCTGATAATGCCTCGTGGCTAGAAGCAACAAAATCATTCAAAATACTTTAAGGAAGAAAACGTTTTTGAAACAGTTATGGGAATTCAAGACTCCCTCCTGCTTCCCCTGGCTTTTTAAAATAGAGCTAAAGCAAACTCGCTTCTGTGACATACCTCCTCATCTATCTTCATTTTTTCAAACAATACTTTTATTTATTAGCAATTAACTTTGACATTCATTAATCGTCCCTCTATTTTCCTTCAAAAAGTTTTCAAGTACCTTTTAAAATTCCTATCTTTACCAACATGATGCATGAAAGAAAAAGCAAGGAAAGAAAAGAAAAAAGTGTGATGGCATCCTGAGACAACATCTTAATGGAAAGGAAGTGCTAAAGCAACCTTAGTATCATTTCACTGGTGTCTTCCAGGGTTTCTGTGAATCAAGGCTTTTTTTCTTTACTTAAGCAATTGCAGTGTTAAAGGTTTCTGCAGAATAATTAAGACTAAAACTACCCCCACTCTGACATTTTACATTTCTCCAGGATACCAAAAATAAATGAATGTTTACCAATAGCAGCCTTTGAAAGAAATCATACAATTCACTGGACAGGTATGTAACTCCCTGCCCTGCCCACAACAGTACTGTTTTAACACATTAAGACAAAAGCATTTGAAACAGTTAGGCAAAACAGTTGCAATGCAGAGTGTGAAACTATAAACATATATATATATGTGTATATATATGTGTGTGTGTATATATAGATATATATGTACCCACTGCATAAATGGAAACTTTCTCTGCTCACGGCTCAGGAGAAAGCTAAGCACTTTCTTTGAGACACTAAACTTAAAACCTCAAAGCTACAAGCAACTAAAATTAGTAGTGTCTTACCAAAACCTGAATATATACAATAAAGGAAAAAACCCTCATTTCAATCTCTAAAATACAGATCAGTCACTAATGGTTACAACCAAGTGATAACTATTTTTAAATGTGTTTATATACATTAAAAAGCTGGTTTCTGTCAAATCCCTATTAGACAGCTGCAGCACAAAATATCTTTTGAAACCATTTATTACACTGGTAAGATGCAGCCTGGTCTGCAGATCTGTGCCACTGTTCACTCTATTTCTCCAAAAGTATTACTTCAACATTTGAAACAGTTTGGGTAGCAGGTGTAATATACCCTTGAATGTTTCAGAAAGCAGCATTCAAACCTGCATATGAGTCTAACAGGACTACAAATCTTACCGCTAAATTTGCTGTCTTTCATTTGCATAAAATATTATGCAAGTACTCAAGAGTACAGAGGTACAAGAGAAATGTATTCAGAATTCCAGTGAAAAAGCAAGTTTTTCTTTCTTTCTTTATCAAAAGAAAACTGAAAGTAGAGAAGGGGGAAGAAGGGACTTGACACAGAATTAGAGATGCCGGCAAAGTATCTGAAATGTCTGCACCAGGCAAAATGTTTATTTGAAAAATGAGAGGGTCTGGCTTAAATGCCCAACTTGCACTTTTGTTTATACAAATGAAAGGAAAGCAAATGTAAGGGATAAGTGGTAAACACTGCCTGACAGGATCACAAGCCAATTCCACAAATGTTACATTTCCAAGGTGAGCATAAATTCTGTACTGATGCTAGAGCCACAAGAGCTAAGGCTCTGTGAACGAGAAAATGTGTTTTTATAACTGGTATGCCATTTGAATCGTGAATAACACCACAGTGACCAAAATAATGAGAAAAGGGTTAATTCTGTTTATGCAAATGTCTAACTATTTGAAACAGTAAATCACATTTACTTCCGAAAACATGATTTTAAGACAGAAGGCTTGAAAGACAGAACTAACTGGGCCTCAGAGGTCTCTATCATGGTGCCTACAAACATCCTGTTGTAGCAAGGAGCTGATTAAACACCAGATTTCCATTTCTACAGTAAAAGGAACATCTGAAAGTTCCTCCAGTTCCACATACTGTAATTTATATAAAATAATATAATAATACACAGAAAAGAATAAGACTATAGGCTATTAGACTGAAAATATAACTGGAAACAAAAGTCACTTTTGTAAACATAAGGAAAAGTAATTACTTTACTCAAGTACAAAGTAATCCATGAAAGTGCAGTATTAACCTTCAAAAACCACAAAGATGTTCCTTTGTACATTTTGATTACATCTTTTCCTCTATCACTTGAAACATTCGTACTGTCAAGATTTTCCCAACATGCAACTAAACTACGTCTCTCGTTTTCAGCTACTGACTTAATATCTCCGTGTTTCAATCTCTGTTAGTGTTCATCCTCTTCAAGTATTTACAGAAAAGTACATAGACATACGGCCAAGATTTTCAAGGTTCTCAAGTCAGCTTCTCCTGCTAAGTCTTTTCTCTTGCTACTTTCTGTAAGCTCCTTCTACCAGAGAAGATCTTGTTAGCTCCCACGTTGTCCTGTCTGCTTATTATAATCTGCTTTTTACAATTCACAGAATCACAGAACGGTTGAGGTTGGTGAGGATCTCTGGACATCATCTGACCCACCTCCCCTGCTCAAGCAGGGCCATCTGGAGCCAGCTACCCAGGACCATGTCCAGACAGCTTTTTAATATCTCCATGGATGAAGACTCCACCACCTTTGCGGGCAACCCATGCCAGTGCTCTGTCATCCCCACAGTAAAAAAGTGTTTCCTGATCTTCAGAGGGAACCTCCCGTGTTTCAGTTTGTGCCCACTGCCTCTGGGCCTGTCACTGGGCACCACTGAGAAGAGCCTGGGTCTGTCCTCTTTGCACCCTCTCTTCAGGTATTTGTATACACTGATAAGACCCCCACTGAGCCTTCTCTTCTCCAGGCTAAACAGCCCCAGCTCTCTCAGCCTCTCCTCATAGGAGAGATGCTCCAGTCCCTTCATCATCTTTGTGGCCCTTTGCTGGACTCTCTCCAGTAGGTCCATGCTTCTGTACTGGGGAGCCCAGAACTGGACACAGTACTCCAGATACGAAGTGCATCCCATGTATTTTAGGACTATACTTTCCTCATCCTTGCCCATCATTTCTCTCCTGCACTCCACCAATTTTCATCTGCATTTCCTTGGATATATTGTGGCCATTGATTTTAGTGTATCCTTGTTTTGATGAAAAAATAGATGGTAAAAACTTTTCCTTTTTCTTCCGTCTACAAAGATCTATATTTCTACATGCATTTCTGACAGTTGAGTATTTCTCTGCAGAGATCCTCAGCTTAGAAACACCTTTTAAAAGATTTTACTGTTTTTTTAAATCATATGACCTATTTTCCTTATCCAAAAAACCCTTAATGCTATGTTTTGGTACCACTTACGAGTAACTCTCCTAAACTTTTGGTTTTAAATACTATTACATTTCAACTTTTGCTGCCACCGGCATCTCATACTTGGTTAGTAAACATAGCTGTTCACCTCATGCTCTGGTGAGAGATGTTCCATGTCAATTCGTAAACACTTAAGTCCTGGTAAAAAGTGATTGACCATTAAATCCTCTGAAATAACTAAAAAACAGGTTGTTAAGGTATTATATAAGGATTGCTTTCTGAAATTATACAAATTTTTTTTCTGTCTTCTGATAATGTTATTTACTGAACGCAGGGACAAGCTACAGCAGCAAAACCCAAGAAAACAGAACAGCATTTGGCACTTCATGACCAATAAAAAAGATCTTGAACATATTTAATTTCATATATAAGGTGTTGATAACACACCAGTGTTTTGGCTACTGCTGAGCAGTGCTTGCACAGCATCAAGGCTGTGTCTCCAACATCTCCCCACCTCACCAGTAGGCTGGGGATGGGCAAGATCTTGGGAGGGGACATAGCCAGGACAGCTGACCCAAACTGACCAAAGGGATATTCCGTACCATATGATGTTTGCTCAGCAATAAAAGCTAAGAGAACAAGGGGAGGGGAGCATTTATTATTACAACGTTTGTCTTCTGGAGCAACCGCTATGCATGCTGAAGCCCTACTCCCCAAGAAATGGCTGGACATAGCCTGCTGATGGGAAGTGGAGAATAAATCTTTTATTTTCCTTTCCTTCCACGTGTGGCCTTTGCTTTTGCTGTATTAAACTGCTTTTATCTTGACCCATGAGGTTTTTTCCATCTTATTTTCTCCCCCCTCTGTCCTGCTGAGGAGGGGAGTGACAGAGCGGCTTGGTGGACACCTGGCGTGCAGCCAACATCAACCCACCACATCCACCTTCTGTGAAAACTTCGTCTTTATACTGAGCAGATCATGTTTTACATCACACATTCAAAATCAAACTTAATTATTTCTCAAGTATTCATCTTCTCACCCCACCAGAGAATTAACAGCTAAACTGCACCCCAAAAAAGGATACAACAACAGGAAAGAGCACTGTAGGCTTCAAACAGGTGGGTAGCGATATCCAGTCTCTTCGAATCCACAGACTGCTGGTTGTTGACCAAGGCTAACTTGTGCAAGTGTGGAATAACAACTGTGAAAGTGAATACTGGAGTAAGTATTTGAAATCGCTTTCTGTAGAGTTGCTTAGCATTAAAGAGTTGCGAAGTGGCAATCGCAGGCACCTGAAGCGTCACACATCAGTGTGGAGTAAGAACTGCAAATAATGGCTTTTGATGGGACTGCCCATGCAGATTTAACTGATCAACTCAAACTTGAAACAAAACTGTGGTAACATCCTCTGAAATAAAAAGGTACCTCAGAGTACCTTTGAAATAGTAACAGTTTACAGAAAATATTTTGCAACATTATTACTCTCCTGCTGCTGAAGCTGTCTAAAATATGTGCCTATCTTATAAATACAGCTGATAAGCTAGTGACAGAGATCTGCATATAATGGGAAATCTTCACCGACTATAGAGGAGGACTAATGAGTTTAGCCTGCTAAACTAGATACCTTAAGTTGGGAGGGATGATAGCTCCTCATGTTTTGTTTACAATATCTTTAAGACTGTCTAACAACCAACTTTGCTCTTCTATGTGCTTTACATTTGAGGGCCATGAAAAAAAGCTGTTTTTTAATCTGGGATGCGCTTACATTTAAGATGTATGGAATACTTGAAAGTTTTATGTCAGCAGGGGGTGAAGCAATGGGGGAGGGGGGAGAAGAAGGCATTTTACATGTCAAGTAATTAAAAAAAAAAAAAGACAAATTCAAATTTGCTCTGCAGCAAAGTGACCAGTCCGCTCTGGCTCTGAAATCATTCATCACCATGTGCTGGTGTTCTGCATACACACTGATGTTAGGTAAAGTGAAAATCGTATTAGCAAAGTCTTAAATACTAGGACATATCAAACTCTGAAAACAAGAGTTTTCATCAAACTTTCTGTAAAAAAAAAAAAAAAAAAAAAAAAAAAAATCAATACAACCAGCATGCTATTAGCTTTGGAACTGAAAGAGGAAGACTGCATCTTCCCACTGATGCAACTTACATTCATCTCTAAATCTGGGCTCAGCATTAGGTCCAACTCTTCCAAATGTTTTTATGATTTCTGTATGTAGAGAATGTTGGTCTTGATATTGAGGGTCCTCCAGGAAAGATGCCAGCTGCATTTTTACTCTTTCCAGAAGCTTAAGTATTTCCAGAGAAATAAAAAGTACACAAAAGAATGAAGATGCTAGAAACTGTTATGGTCAGTTCAGAGTATGTCTATAATCTTCCATATATCAGATTATAAACCTTGGACCTTCTGTTAATTTACAGTGTTTTTCTAACAGGATGTTCCAAACTCTTCGATGCAGCTCTGTGTTTTAAAGACTGTTAACAGTGTTTTAGTCTGATCTATCTTTAACTATAGACAGGTGCTTCCACATAGCCGGCCTGTCCTCCTGAGGTTTCCTTGGTTTTGATACATTTTTTACCTGCTATTAAAATTTCCCTCTTACTATTAATATCTTTGGAGTTTTCCTGTTTAATTAGAACGGAATCCAGGTTTGGGCTTTTTTTTTGTAATATCTCTCAATCAGTATGCTGAAAAATTTTCTGCAGAGGACAGAGATGCAAAAGTAAGCATCATAAAATCAACGGAATTAAAAAGATTTCTTCAACTAAATGCAGAAAAACTGAAAATACAAATATATCTAAGATGATAAAAGTATTTAATTTGCATTCAAAGTTGTAAAAATAACATTTTCTGACACATTTTGGAAGGCGATATCACCTCTGTATTCTAAGGCTTATTATAATTAGTGCAATGGATACAGTAATTTTTGTGTGGTAACGAAACAGTATTCTTCCCAAACTGATTATAGGCATGCATTCCAAGCTACAAAATTGTAACTTATCCATCTTCCAAGTACTTGTGAGTCATCACTGACTTCTTACTCACATTTCCTCAAACACATTCTTTTAGAATCTGTTAAGTTACAGGAAGAATGCAAGCTCTGCAAAAAGTTGCAAGGACTTTCAGAAGAACTTTGATTGTATCGTTATTATATAAAACAAAATACAGTATTTCTACTGCTTACAGCAGAATCCTGTGTGTCTTTTTCAGAATTCTGATCTATTACCAAAGTGCCATCATTTAAAAAACAAGGAGAAGTTGCATATCTATATTATCCTCAAGGATTATTTCAGTTATGTCACCATGATGTCTTTTAATGCCATCTTGGACACCATGGGCTAAACCAGCAGGTATGACAGGAACTACAAGAGACTTGTACCCTTCTAAAGTACTTGGAAGCCAAGCAGGACATCCTAAAGCATCTAAAATGGTACAATATACTTATGTGGAGGTAAATGAACTCCAACATGACTTTCTGGTTAGCATTTTAAAGTAAAGCTATTTTATTTGGAAATAAGAGACTTGGATTTCTCAACTGTATTGGAGAATGTTTTAAAAAACATTTTGAGTATGGGATTTCCCATCTTCTAGCACAGGCCTCTCCCTCTACATATCTGTTTTTCTTTGTTTATGTTTGGTTTGGCATTTAGAAGGAAATGTTTTTATTAGTTAAAAGAGGTTTGGTTTGCTTCCAAAAAAGAAAAAAAAAACCAACCCCAAAACAACCCCAAAAAACCAAAAGACCACTGCAAAACTGTAAAGTAGTTTGAAAGAGAATGTAACAAAGGAAGAAATAATTTATAAGCTGCCTTATTTTTTTTCCTCCAAGTCGATTAATAAATTACTTGATTTCTGGATTTATAAAAAATATCACCCACTTCTTACGCCACAAAAACAACAGCCTGACAACAGGTCTTACCTCTCTCTGAGTAACAGTTTCCATGATGGTCCCAAAAGCAGGAATTGTTGCAATCCTTACTGAACTACAACAGAAAAATAGAGTCTTTAAGATGTATTAAACACTAAGAATAAAATTAATTAAAAATAAAGCAAAGCTAAAAAAATTAGTACTTTAAGTTACGTTAGTTTCTAGCAATAGCAAACCAAAAAAAGCAGACCAGGAAAAAGACAGACAGGATTAACTCAAGGTCTCAATCTGAAACTCACAATTCAGGATCACTGGACAAGGTAACAAGGGCTGGAGCAACCCGCTTGTCAACTAAGGCTTCACTCATGCCTCGAAGAGTCAGCTGTAAACCGTCAACATGCAATAAAAAATGGTTTGGTAAACTTGAACTGGGTTAGCTGTGACTGAGGATGGGCAGGCAGACTCTTGGGGTTTTTCTTGGTTTAGTCACCCACACAAGACATTAAAACGATTAAGACTCTATTCATGCTGTAGCATTTATTAGCAACAACCTGCTAGTGAGATTAGCAAAGCATCCCTCCTTAGCTTGAAAGAAATATCACATCAGAATGTCCAGGAAATTAAGTGCTATGGTTGTCTATCAGAAATGAGATACAGCCAAAACTATTCTGCATTTCAGTAAAGCAGATGATATTTAATTTTGCAGTAGTAAAACTGACAGTATTACAGAACATATTAATATCCAGCTTTCTATTAGAAATGATGTAAACAAATTTCAAAACTGAGAATATGATTAAATATAAAAAACCATAAACATTAAATTACATTGGTTTAAGTTTTCTATTTAAACTTTATTCAGCAGTTTTATCCAGTTTAGTTGTAGGTGTAAAACCTTTTTATTTACAAATGAGTGATTTAAAAGTTACATTTGTTTAAAAGTAATTCAATTTTTGTTCAGCTAGAATAAGAAATGGAACTGATGGTTATTTCTTCCTAAGCATTAAGGGGGATGCTAGGTATATAAGACAGTCAGGAAACTTACATTTCAGGGTCACTGGAGAGAGTAATGAGAGCAGGAACAACTCTCTGAGCTACCAGAGTTTCATGTACCCCCTTCACCAACAGCTGAATGGTCGGAGCAGGGGGGTATCACAGGTGATGCACGGAAAGAGCGAGCACAGTATCATGGGAAGAAGAACGGCACAACCAAGAGAGAGAAAGAAAAAACACAAAAAGCAAACCAAAATTAGAAGCTAAGCAAATACTGCTACACTAGTGCTTCATATATGCAAAGGCATGAAGAAAGCCGAAGTGGTCTGGCAATCAGCACAAACCTGACAAATTCAACAATATGATGATGTTTTTTTCTATTTTCAGCTGGTTTAAAACTTGAACTCTCAAAAGTTTAGCAAATAATTATGTATTATAGCTATACATATAATGTTGTATAATTAAATACTAAAGTGATGCCAATTTGAGTTTAACAGTTTAATCTAAATGCTATTCCTAACTCAATGGAATGGTATTTATTATAGTAGGTGGCTGTCACATGCGAAATAGATGTCTTTAGCTAGGCCAAACGCGTGTAGTTTTTCTGCACTGAGTGATACCTTTCAGACCTTTTACAACGTGACAAACAGCACCTTCCCAGATGCCACTAAGCTTTCCTCAAAGTCAATCAGGACTATTTTAGATTTAACTGCCATCCAAGCAGCATGTATGCAAAACTTCCTCATTTTCCCTTGCTGGTCCATGCAGGTAGAAAATGGAGAATCCTTGGATTATCCATGAAATGTATTGCACCAAGTCTTTTTGCAAAATAAGGAAGAGATATAGTTGTTGCAATACATCTCAAATGTTAAAAACTCAGATCACAGTGAAATTTATTACCCATAAATATGTGGAAATTGTTTGAATTTAGATGTTCCCAGGTGATCTTTTTTCTGTTAGTTCAACTATGACATTTTAACATTAACACATTTCATGATTATTTACAGTGGCAACAACTTAAAGCACCGATGTGTTGAGCTTATGGGATACTTTCAAACAGCTGTTAAGGACATAGCTCACTGTTTGACTATGATGATCTTCCTCTCATATACAGATTTACCAGTTTTCCCATTGATTACAATAGAGAATGCTTACTATTTTCAATTTTGAACAAATAGGGACTTGAGTTTTCTTTACTGATCTTAATTTTGAGAAAAGCCTAGAGGTAAAGTAGTGCTTTGGAAAAAAAAAAAAAAAGCTTGGTATTTGTATAATTAGCAAACAATTGAGAATGATGTCAGCTTCATGACTATGTGGGCTACCACGCTTCTAATTACAGTAAAGCATGGTAAACAGCATTGTTCTGTCTTACAGAAAATAAAACATGCTTTATAATTCAAGTGTCATTCTGAAGATAAGTGTTCCTAGCCTTGAACCTAAACAGACCAACACAGCTTATAACACAACTATGTGCTTCATGTTCAAACCAGCAGCATGTTTGCATCAACATTCAAATGGGAAACTACTAACTGAAAACATTAACAAAGAAGCAACAGAAACAGCTGGATGGGCAAAGCCACACAGCAGCATGTAAGGTTACACAGCGAGACAGACAACGCAAATTTTTATCCTGTTTTGATTCCTCTAGATCAATGTGTGATCATTATCTATGCACATTACACCTTAAAAATGGTAGCACAAAGCTTCCTGCCCCCAAAGGAGAGAAGTGGTAGAATGGCTCCAAATTACTTCTGTGTCCTTCCAATCCTTAACAGACCGCAAAGGTTTGGTAACGCAGTCTGGCAGGCCCACATCACGGCAGTCTCTGTGCTGCTGTACAGACCACTGTGCTGCTCAGAATCTTTACAGTTCTCATATAGCTGTCCTGCCGGTGACATACTCTTATTATCTAATTGCTGGGCTTTGCCATTCAGCAGCCTCTGAGATGTCAGAAATTCCTTGAATGAAGGAATCTTCTAAAAGTGAAACCGACTATTACGACCTCTTTACACAGGTGACTTCCCAAATTTACATATTGCCATGTATAAATATATATGCTATGGCTATCAAGGAAGTGGCAGTACAATACTATTTTCAAGTGAGAAAAGTGCCTATAACAAAGTTGCCTTCATAAAAATTGAAGTATACTAGGAAATAAGCAATCAAATAGCATGCAGAACTGCCAAAATACAATCAACATGCAGTTGAATTTGAAAAGAAACTGCAACCAAGACAACAGCCTGTTGTAACTGAGGTCTTTCACATGTTTGGCTAATGCATGTTTAAGAAAAAAAACAAACCACACCAAACAAACAACTTATTATTACAAACAAAATCTAACAAGAACATTGCTTATATTAAAAAAGAAAAAAAAACCCAAACAACCAACTCAAAAATATTTTAAGGGTGACCAAAAATTGCCATCTCCATTTTAAAGGGAGAGGAGGGGAAAAAAAACCAGACAAGGTTGGATGTTTTCAACTGAAGTCTCAGGATCTGTCTTAAGATGGTTGTTTAGTGCTTTATCTGCAATGACTTGCAGAGCTGCAGTAAAGAACAGTAACGGTTATGTTAAGTGCTCTTTTTTCCCCATTTCCATTTGCAAAGACTTGAGATTTGTCTTTGCAAATGGATACAAGGTGGCAGGTTCAGCTAGAGGTCCCCTGGAAAGCTATCCAAATGAGTCAAATGTGGAAGAAATGCAAAAAAAAAAAAAAAAAAAAAAGTGTGATTAGAAATATGTCTTTCTAACATGCAAAAAAACCCCCCATGCTTTGTTCAGCAAGTGGAGTATGTCCCAGAGTTTTTGGATATGCCTTTTTTAATTAACACTTGATGAAACAAAGGCATGATGTGGAAATAAAAGCAAACTTATTAGTTAAATATAACAGTCTTTATCCTGAGCAAATTTATAGATGTTAAGGGAAAGATGAAGCTGTCACTATGTGGCAAGTAAAGTAATCGTAAATTATTTTACGTTTTACAAAAAATACAAAATTGGTCAAGTGTATGTTTTTGCCACCAATGGAAACTAGTTTGAATTACAATGCAAGTGCATTGTATGAGTATACACAAAAAGTATGGAAAACCAATAACTTGTGAATTAGGCTACTGATGATGTGTTGAAAAACAAAAGCAAGTGTTAAAAATCAGAGAGATGCTTGTTTATGTTTATCTACAGACCAAAGCAAACACATTTGACAATGTATTGAATTCTGGTTTGAACACAGTTTAGCAATGAAATGAGTTTTTGTAATTGGAAAACGTTTTTCAGCATGCAATAATCAGAATGCAACAATCAAGTCAGCAGCAGATCAAAAGAACACATACACAGTTACTACAGAAACATCTTGCAAGTGGCTAATGACAAATTGCTTAATGAAAGATGTGCTGTTGAACAGAGAACAGATACAGAAACAACTGCACAACTTCCTGCTCCATCACACAGTACACAACTTAAATAAGCCATTTGTAATTTTTAAGAATGTAGCAACATTATCTGAATCACTGTTTTTAAAAATAAACTCGAGTTTTAAAAAGGTGTAAAAAAGTTTGGATAAACACTTACCTCAAACATTCTAGCAGCTGTACATCGAACAAGAGCGGAAGTATGGACAACTCCATACCATAAGACAGTTAAGAGCAGCTCATGATAAGCTGGGTTTGCACTAAAAGAAAACAGTTTGGCAATCAAAAAAAAAAACAAAAAAAAAAAACAAACCCTAAAAACACAAAACCCAAACAAAAAACCAAACCACCAAAAAAACCCCAAAACCTTCCGAACCCTGAATATGTTCTTTGCCTACAAAATGTAGTCTCAAGAATCTGTTGCTTAACAAATCTAAAACTCCAAAATTTATCCTTTCTGAAGGATACATAACATTTATGTCATTTTGAAGGACATGCAACACATTCCTGTCTAGAAAATATGTTGCATTTTGAAGTGCATTTTTTTAAACTTTAAGAATATAATTTTCAATAAATTATGACACTGAACTGAATGCAAATACATACCTAGAACACATCATAACAGTACGGAAAATACAAAATGAATTTCTATTTTATCCTCAATGACTGATTTTTGTGGGTGTTTTTCTGGTGTTGTTGGTTTTGGGTTTTTTTTTTTTGTGGTGGTTTTTGGTTTGGTTTGGTGGGGGTTTTTGGGGGTTTTTTGGTGTGGTTTTTTTTTTACACTTCAGATTTTTTTTACCACTACATTTTTAATCCAGTGATTAAAAGTTTAAATTTTGTGAAACACCAAGGAAAAAAAGCAAGCATACTCTTTATTCACCCAAAGCATCACAGTTATTAAAATTACAGCCAGATTAGCAGCTTTTCATAAAAACTTTTAATGTACTTAGATCTAGTCAACTCCAAGGTATATTCTTTACCCCAGTTCCACAAAGGAAGCTTTCAGGCTATCAAGAGGAGCATGGGATAGTGAAAGCATGGTCATTACATCTTCTAAGAATCCAACTAACAGCTTGCGGTCTTCTTCCTGAAAGAAGAGCATACAATATTGAATTTAGTACAAGTATTGCTGTGGTTGTGATGACCTACAGCTATGCAAGAGACAAACTATGAATGAGAACGAACTAGCTTTAGAACTTCAAAAATGTGGTTTAAGAACAAGAACCTTTCAAAGCAAACACAAGAGACTGTATTTCTGCATTACATCAACTAAGCACATACTCGTGCATAAATTACCCAAATTGTTTTACTAAAGAAACTTTTAAGAAGAGTACTTAAGTACTTTAATGGCTCCTGGCAGTTTGTGATTGCTCACAGTGCACTAAACATTTGTGAGATGATGAAGTATTTATTTTTTTCCTGTAAGCTATCTGTATGCCAGTCCATAACTGATGGTTACTGGAGGATTAGGTAGTATTATTTGTGGAGTGTTTATTTTAGTACTAGGTAACACTAAAATTTTAAGACTCCAACTATGCCCAAAATGGTGATCTACCTGCTTATCTGTTTCAGTAAATTTTGCAAAATTATGTTTGCAGGGATTGCAATTAAATGGCCAAGAAACCATTTATGGAATAACATTAATATTTTTGATAGAGGCACACAGCAACTGTCAATGTCTGTCTGAAAGTTAGCAGTGGTGAAGATGCCAGATGTCATTTTAAGATTTACTGAATTCAGGTTTTAATGCTGATGACAATCATCTAAATTTAGCAGACAACCTGACGAGAAAACTTTGCTTTTAAATGTGTTTGCAGCTGCCCACTTATTTACCTATCTTCAAAGCACAAGAGCACTGTAAGTCTTCAAAGAAACCAGTAAGGATTTTTTTTGTAGAATAAATTTTACATATTATTATACATTTAACAAAGAAACAGAAAAACAAACCCACCTGAATATAACATGTAAGGACCCCTGTTGCATAGATGGGAACCGTGGCTTTTGTTAGCACTCCGTTACCTGCTGTGGAATCTAATGAAACACAGTTAAGAATTTAGGTTTTATATATACATACATATGTATATCTATGTGTGTTTAATATATATACGATGTATTTTTTTATATATATGTTAGACTTCTATGTGTGTATTCTAAGTATTACATATATTCACTTTTTATATATACATTAAGAATTTATATACATACATACACGCACACACATGCTAAAGTAATACTCAAGTGGTATTTGGATTTGACATTTCATTTGTACTTTACACACACCATCTACAACTTCAGTGTTCCATTCCATGCAATCCATAAGATTAGATTTTCAGCATTTCAGAAAGATGACAAATTTGAGAACTGCAGTCTGAAAAACGTTATTTGAACAAGAGATTGACAGGTTTTCTTCCAGTGTGGTTAAGATCAATTTTTATTAATTTGAGTAAAAAGCTACTTACCTATGTTTTCCTCAGAGAGTCTTAAGATTTCCTGGAACTGTGGTTTTACCTATACAAAGGATGACGAATGCCATGTAAGAAAACCTGGGATGTGTCAATTAACTTAGGAAAAAAGTAAGAATTAAAAAAAAACCTCCACCCAACAGAAAAAGGATATTCTGAAGGTACAGAAAGAAAAAACCCTTTAAAAAGCACAGCCAGCTTTTATGAAAATTTTAAGTATGACATAAAAGTGTAAAAATTTCTACTGAGTACCCAACACTGAGGTAGCAGTATTTAGCGCTCCTGATACTAGAAGTTAAAGTCTCTTGGCAATATGCTTAGTTGGGCTTTAGGGTTTACAGTTTTACCAAGCTATACGTTAAAAAAAAAAAAAAAAAAAAAATTTTTTTTTTGTTTTATATATTTGCTGTCCATGAAGTACTCTCTTCCAAAATATAGCTGTGACAATCAGTATTGGAACTATTTTATAGAAGCAAGGGTTCTAAAGATAACTTACATAAGGGGCTTTCAAAGACCAGAGGCTGGGTTTCATCTCCTCTCTGGAGGCAGCACATAATGCTAACCCTTTTTTGTAATTTTATCGTTAGGTAATCCTCTCGTGTTTTATAATTTCCCTTTAAAATATTTTAAAATTATATCCAGAATTTATTTTTTTGAGACAAAAAGTTATGTATTTCCTTGATAAAAATCTTTAGATATCATCTATAGAAAATGTTTTGGGCAGGGAAAGCATTAATTTTAAATTTCCAATCAAGTACAGGCTGGAGTACTTATGCACACCACAAACACTGAACAGTATGCTGTTCTGAAGAAAGAAAATTGTTACATCGCTAGAATTAGGATGATCTCTCCCACTCTCTATGCTATTCACAAAGCAAATATGAAGAATACAGTTTAAAAAACCCAATCCTTCCTTGTTGGGCAAGATGAGACCATTCCAAAATGGTCAAAAACAGGAATCAAAAGGATGCAAACAGAGGTTTAAAAATAGCATGTTTAAATGTACTTATGGAAAAGCATCAGTGTGACGTGCAAATATAAATGGTCACATAAAGTGCGGGTATTCAGACACACTGTAAATACGGAGAATATATATTATCAAGGTACTCTTTTTGTAGAATATTTAAGGTAGTATCTTACCTTAGTGTTTGTAAAAATCTTCCCAAATGTCCTACAGAGTCTCCAGAAAAATCTAGAGAACTCATGGACACAGGCAGTTGATGCTACATTGATCTTGCCAACTATTTCTATAAGCTGTGGGAGCCTAAAAATCAGGAAACAAAAGGGTATTAAACACTGCTCTGATCTTCTGTTTCTCTCCAGTTGTATTTGTATAAATTGACTGTTTATGTTAATAAATATATATATGCACACAGCACTATTGGTTCTAATAAAATTATCTACGTGTTCTGTTTATTCCTGACCTTTGAAGAAAGCAATGGTTTAAGTGCCAGAAAAGTCTGAGACCTGTATTTTCAAACATCTGTTACTGCAGAACAGCGTATTTCATGAGATATTCAGAATACAACAATCTTCACTTCAACAGAGAATTAACTATACTAGTGCAAACATGACAGAAACAATTTTTTGGAACAAGTAGTTACCTACAGGTTCTGCTAGATAGTTGATATTTTCTGAATAAAATCAAAGTCAATTCAGTATGAAAATTAAAATGCCTACAAAAATTCAGTCTTTTCCTCTTTAATAATTCTTAAACACAATCATACTTAAAATTCTTATGTTTAATAACTGTTAAACATAATCATGCTTAAGAACTATTCATTTTGACACATTTTAAAATTAGGAATCGTAAGACACAAATTAACTCACAGTTGATTGACTACCCATAGCAAAGTCTCCCAGCCTGTGGTACCCTCATGTTCTAGCTGATAGTCATACAGTTGCAACAACACTGCTAACTGTTCACGGCTTCCAATGATGATGGCCACATCCTGAAGAGGCGATACGGGTCGGGGAAATCTAGTGACTGTAACAGCAGAGAACAAGCGATTACGAACAAAAGAAGATGAAAATACCTTGGAGGTGACACCAGTGAAGATAGCTAAGAAAGTCTGAAACTCTTTAGTGCCTTCTGTGTAAGGTTATCAAATTGCTTTTTAAAAATCAGTGAGTTAAATCCATCTCTGAAGACACTACATAATCTGCACTTAAAAAGAGGAAACACCGGTACAGGGAGATTATGGAATTATTATTGCCAGCATAGCTTCACCAAGGGCAAATCTTGCCTGACCAACCTACTGGTCTTCTGTGATGGAGTGACTACATCAGTGAACAAGGGAAGAGCTATGGATGCCATCCATCTGGACATCTGTAAGGCCTTTGACACAGTCCCCCCACAACATCCTTCTCTCTAAATTGGAGAAATACGGATTTGATGGGTTGACTTTTCGGTGGGTAAGGATGGTTGCATCCAGAGAGCAGTGATCAACTGCTTGACATGCAGGTGGAGATCAGTAACAGGTGGCGTCCCTCAGGGGTGTGTTGGGACCAGTACCGTTTAATACCTTCATCAATGACATAGACAGTGGGATTGAGTGCACCCTCAGCAAGTTTGCAGATGACACTAACCTGAGTGGGTGCAGTTGACATGCCTGAGGGATGGGGTTCCATTCACAGGGACCTGGACAAGCTCAAGAAGTTGGCCCATGTGAACCTCATGAGGTTCAAGAAGGTCAAGTGCAAGGTCCTGCACCGGGGTCGGGGCAACCCCCGGTATCAATACAGGCTGGGGGATG